CTTTTCTTATCAACATGTGCCATATAGTTATGCCTACTTAATAGAACTGTGAGTAGTATTTTAAATTAGCATAGACTTTTAGGGTAATTTTTTTTTTTTTGTATTTATGACATATTGATGGTTAGACCAGTGATTTATTTGAATACTGAATTCTAGTACAGGAATATAATCCTGTATTTTCACATTGCTTTTCTATGGCAAAATTTAATCAACTGTATGTTTTCCAGAAATTGTTAGTAATGAAAAACTTCAAAATAATTTTCTTGAACTTTACTTTATTGATATGTAAAATGTATTCCTTTAAATTGCATTACAAAAAGAACTCTCCCTCAATGTGCCTTTAACTTCTAGCTTCAACAAATTTTCTGTTAAATATGTAGTTTCTTTATTAAATAAGCATTTTGTTATTAAAAAATAAAAGCCTACTTGTATTTTGAAAATATTTATGTGGTTGTATCTAGCATGCGTATATAAGTACTTATTTAAAAAGCATACAGAAGTATAGTATTCAATTGATAGTAACCTTCTGTTGCAATTAATAGGATTCTTTGAAAATCTTTTTTGAATGAAACATAGTTTTTTCCAGAATAATGATCATAAAAATTACAGACACTTTTCATGTGCATGACCTATTAATGCAGTTTGGGGAGCACCTGCTTGGGCTTTGAAAAAGACACTGAAGTGCCTAAGCTGAATAGGTTTCAGGATGTTGTAGGAGGAGCTGCAGAAGATATAAGACTTATCGCATGTGAAGCCTGCCTTCAAGGAACTTGCAGTATTTAAAAAAATATATAGTTGCATTAATAATTAGCTTTTCTATAAATTAGAAAGAAGAACAGACCCCCAAAAGAGATGGTGAGTGATACAACTGAACTGTTTGAGAGGGAGAGATCTCTTTCATTTGGGGAGCATCTGGGATCTGAGAGGTTTTATTGGGGTGAAAAAGTAAGGCTGTGAGCTCTTGGTTAGGTCTAGGAAGGAGCATGTGAAGGCACCGGGGGTGGGGGGCCGAATGTGGTGTTCCAGAGGAGGCAGGCCATGCGCTCAAGCCGTGCACTCGCACAGTGGGGCTGGGTGTGGGGAGAAGACGGAACCAGTTCAACAAGATTAAACCTTAGCAAACACTAGCATGGGCTTCTGCCTCTTGATTTGTTAATGTCTGTTCTGCTCTGTGGATAATTAGGTGCAATGAAATCTCAAAGGACTACATAGAGAATCAAATGAAAGGAGACCATGTGGGTTTATGATATCACTGGAATCACTGTCGAGTCACCAAAAAACAAGACTTGTAACTGATCACCTATTAAAGGACAACAATGAGAATGATGAAAGTATAGACTTCCCTTCCTTGAAACAAATGGAAAAGCTATATATCTCATTTTTTATATGTTTTTATTGATTTTTTTTTTTTTTTAGAGGAACATCAACATGAGAGAGAAACATCTATCAGTTGCCTCCTGCATGCCCCCTACTGGGGATCAAGCCCGCAACCCTGGCATGTGTCCTGACCAGGAATCAAACCAGGACCTCTAAGTCCATGGGATGATGCTCAATCCACTAAGCCATACCAGCCAGGCTATATATATCATTTTTTATTCTAAAAGAGCCTTTAGGTTTTTGACCCTTTTCTATCCATTATTTTTATGTGGGTGAGAGGTATTATAATGTAGTTTTATATTCTGCTTTTATTCATTTTACATTAATGTAACATTTCATCTTATCATAACACAACTCTGCAAGGTTATATAATATGGCATTATCAGCATAAACTTGAGTGACAAAGCAAGGAGATTTTAAATCCTGGGCAAGTCGATCTTCTGCTCAGAAACAGGGTATATATACAGTCCGGCTCTGGGATATCACCTTCTTTCTCTCTGTTCTCCGCTCATAATGATGACTCCCAGTTGCAGAATAGGTATATTTTAGGAAAAACAAGTCAGTGTTTAACTGTCTCTTTTGAATTGGAGAGACCATCAGGTTCAGATGGAATTTCAGCATCTTCTGCTTTTTTACTGCAGTTTGATAAGCTTCCTGAAACATTTTGGTCTACTTCAGGCAAAGAAGTCCTATGGCACCGGTGCCTTGGAAGATTTGCAGACACTTAGTGGTACAGTGATACCTCGGTTCTCGAACGCCTCGGTTTTCGACCAAATCGGTATTCGACCAGGAGATTCGAGAAACTTTTGTCTCGGAATCCGAACAAATATTTGGAACTCGAACTTCCGAGATGAGCCGAGTTGAGCCGAATGGCGTTCATTCGGCCCAGCGCGCCTTGCTCGCGTCATCAGTGTGAGTGCAGAGAGAGAGTCACGCTTTGTGGAGAGAGTCACGCTTTCCTATTGGGTTTCATTGCTTCAGTTCTCGAACAATTCGGTTCTCGACCGTCCTCCTGGAACGAATTATGTTCGAGAACCGAGGTATCACTGTATATTGTTGCTTCTCCAAGTCCAGATCTAAAGACAGGTGCTGCCAACTCAGCCCACCAGTTGAAAGCAGAACAGCTGAGGCCAATGCACACCTCAGATAGTTTTTTAAGACCAATTGGTTGTGAGCCCTGGCCAGTGTGGCTCGGCATTTAGAGCATCAGCCCACGGGCCAGAGTCCTGGGTTCGGTTCCCACTAAGGGCACGTACCTTGGTTGCAGTTTGTCCCTGGCCCCTGTTGAGGTCGTGTGGGTGGCAGCCAATGTGTCTCTCTCACATCTATGTTTCTTTTTTTCTTCCCCTCTCCTTCCCACTGTATCTGAATATAAATGCAAAAATGTCCTTGGATGAGGATAAAATTTTAAAAAAGAATAATTGGTTGTGTTTCATATGCATAGACATACAAATAAGTCCTTTTATTCTTCCTGGAAAGTCCTACTGATAGTAGCCTGCCATCTTTCTGGGAACTATTGAGACAAAATAAAGATTAATATTTAATTAACGATTATTTCACAGGATTTCTCAAAATGCATTAGTAGTGCAAAATGGCTTTTATTGGTCTTTCAGTTTTGTCTGTCTCTCATTTAGATGATTTTAGTAAACTTAAGGAGTTTCATAGAGAAAAGAAATGTTCCCAAACTTAATTTTGTTTCCATCAGCCGTCCTGTGTTACTAAATTGCCACCATGACCAAATTTAAGATGCAGCTTGCTCTGTTTGAAGCTGCATCCAAATCTCTTTGTGCGACCATTTCTTTAGATATTAAAATAGAGTGTTTTATCCAACTGTTCATGACAAAACTATTAACTTCTGGTTAGGACATTTTTTAAAGAAAAGATGGTTTAAATTCCAGAGTGTGCTAGCACAGAACTGATATGCATATGCTAAGCCAAGGGATGGGTGTGCTTTGAAAACACACCAAACGTGTAAGGAAGAGTGTCACCGATGCCACGGCAGCATGTGAGAGGAGCTCGTGTAAAAATACAGCAGAGTCCTGGAGAGCAAGTGGAGAATCCAGAAACAGGACTTTGTTACAAGTTCAAATCCCAAAGCAAGAGACCAGGACAAGCTACTCTAGAAGGAACGTTGGGGTCACTGGAGGGCAGGGTAAGGCTATGTTCACTTAGCTCTCCTGAAGACACTAGAATGCGCTCCAGATGAATTTAAATCAGATGAAATATTTTTTAAATAACAAGTGATAAAGGAAAAGTTTGACAAATTTACATAAAACATTAAATGCACCAATAAAAATAAAACTACAGTATTATCTCAAGAAGTCTTTGCACCAAATGTAAGAGTTAACACTATTAAATATATTTAAAATCTGTCTAAATTGTAGGGGCATCGTCAGAACACTAGCAGATAAGTAGGCAAGAGAAATGAAAAGCAGTTCATCTGAGGAAGGGTACTTACTTATAAGCCATCCTATGGAAAATTGTTGATCACTAAGATACCCTAAGGACTATAAGAAAACATTTCAAAGTCATACTACTCATTATTTGGTTATTTGGATGATAATTTAAATTTACCTGGCTTTTAGGCCCAGCTGGTGTTGCTCAGCGGATTGAGCATCATCCCGTGGACTGGGAGGCCTGGTTCAATTCCTGGTCAGGGCACATGCCCAGGTTTTAGGCTTGATCCCCAGTAGGGGGCATGCAGGAGGCAGCTGATGGATGTTTCACTCTCACATCGATGTTTCTCTCTCTCCCTTCCTCTAAAAAAAAAATCAATAAAAACCTATTTTAAAAACTAAACTAAAATAAGTTAACCTGGCTTTTAGAGCCTTTACCACAAAGCTAAGATGTAGGTTCTAGTGTTCTTGTTTTTCAGATAGGAAAACTAAGGCTTAGCAGAGCTAAAACTGTGCCCAGGACCCCAGAGCTAAACCTGACCAGGATGTGAACAGAGCCTCGGTGGCCCAGCCGCCAGCCCCGCAGCCTGGCGAGGAAGCGCACGGTGTTCCGTCACGTTTGTGAAGACTGCGGGGCTGCTTCTATAAGCCCGGTGGAAGACAGAACAGTGTGTGCACTGTAGTTTCTTCTATGTAAAAACGTGTCAATCTGGATAATAAGATGCAAAAAATAAGAATGGTTGTATTCTGGTACAGTATTATAGATGGCTTGGTGGCAATATGTGTTTCACGTGAATTAAAGGAAAAGTATATGGTACTTAGTAAAATGTCTTTCTAAAATGCATTAAAATTTTTTTTTCTTTATTGATTTTAGAAAGAGAGAGGGGAAGGGAGAGGGAGAAAGAGAGAGAGAAACATCCATGTAAGAGAGAACATCGATTGTCCGCCTCCTGCACGCCCCCCACTGGGGATCGGGCCCACAACCCGGGCATGTGCCCTGACCGGGAATCGAACCAGCACCCTCTTGGTGCATGGGCCGACACTCAACCACTGAGCCACACCGGCTGGGCTTCCTAAAACGCATTTTTAAGTAGGGCAGCTAATTTTTGTTCCAGCGTTCATTCTTACTGGGAACATGAACCCTGATATCTGTGGCGGGTGAATCCTTTCATGGTATTTTAAACGCTGTGTTAACAATAAATCCACCCACCTTCTGTGTCCTTCCAGGTGGCACTGGTGTTCCCCAACAACGACCCTGCTGCGTCCATGGTGGCCTTCTACGGTTGCCTGCTGGCCGAGGTCGTCCCCGTGCCCATAGAAGTACCGCTCACGCGAAAGGTAAAGAACGTCACTTCGTTCAGGCCTGTTAACGGGATGACAGGCTCGGCCGCACTGGAGTGGGCTCTTGTGAGGTTGGCGCGTGCGGACCGCCTGTTTGAAAGTGGCTTTTCATCTCAGCGGGATGTGGAGCAGGAGGCGCAGAGAGGTTTTCCTTGTTTCCGAGGCTGTCAGGTTTTCAGCAGTTGTCTCAGTGAAGGGGTCAGGAACCTCACACTGGCGCGGCCGCACAGTTCAGCCGGAGCGGCGGCTCCGAGGCAGGGCTTCTGTGCCTTGAGGCAGCGTTGGGCCGAGTAACCTGTCAATAAAGCAAGTGTTTGAGTTCTTGTTCCTCAGCATCATTACACTGGAAATCTGGGTAAATGACAGGCATTTTTATTTCGGGGGTAGCAGTTGTTGCTTTCATTCAGGTGTTTGGACATGATCAAGTCCCAGGTTCACCTACAGTCTGTCAGATCTTATTCTGTAATTAGAATAAGTAGCTAATCTTGTCTTGTACAGACAGTGCAGTCCAGTATAAGAAGAAATGTTGTGCTGTCCTACACGTGGGTGTATGTTTTTTCATCCAGGTGAACGACTTGCTCTCCACACTCCAGAGCCACAGTAGCTGTAGGAAGAAAGGTAAAGGGGGAATTCCCACAGGGTTGACAGCGATGGCCACCAAAGGCCGATGTCTGATACCGTACAAGGAGACACCGCTGGCAGCCCGGAGTGGTCCCCTCTGTCACTGGGGCTCTGCGACTTCGGAACATGACATTTGTTGTCTTAGAGAACTCCTCTTCATTTTAAATTGAAGAACCATTGGCTCAGGACAGTTGAGAATGGGGTAGGATGGGCACACGAGGCAGGTGATGACGTGTGTGAATATTTCCTCTCTCCACCAGCTCTGTTCCCACGGGACGCGTATGAAATAGTGGGCCTCGTGGGAACTGAATGTTCTGAATCCTGAGTGTTTCTTAATGAACCTGACTGAAGAGTTTAGTCCCCTGTACCTTTATGTATTCTCTGTTCTAACTCGTGGGGTAGGGAGAGAAGCTCATTTTCCCTTGACAATACCATAGCAGGAAAAGTCGTGTCCCTGCAATGCCTGGCACAGGGGGATTGAGACAGAACTTCCCCTTCACAGACACAGGCTCTGCCACGGGCGTGTGAGTCTGACAGGAAAACAGCAAGGCCCTGACGACGGGGGTTGTGTGGGTTCTAAGTAGGATGGACCCAGAGACGAGATGGGCTCTGTGGGCGCAGGAGTCAGCCGACCAGGGCCCGGCCATCAGCACTCACTCCCTCTCCTTGGGATGCTAACCCCAGCCGGTTGGTTGCTCTAGTAAAGATTTTCACATACCCTGTTAAAGTGAAGTGTTTCTGGAAGGGGTAACGTCAACAACTGGTCACATGTCTACAACCTGCTGTGATCAGTCATTGACTCTCCCTCAGGAAGTCAGGGGAAAGGAGAACGTGGGAACCAGGCATTGTGGGGAGGCACACCGGCCACACAGGGCAACCGTCACCCAGCCAAAGTACATGTGCATGAAGGACGCGCCCCGTGTGTGGGCTTCATTTCAAATGCACGGGTCTGTGTGCAGGGGTGTGTTTGGGGTGAGACCAGATTTGCCAAACGCTGGTAGTTGTTGAAGTCGGATGAATAGGTTCATGGGATCTTTCTCCTTTTCTCTATTCTTGTGTGTGCTTGGACATTTTCACTACACATAAAAAGTTAGAAGTTAATGGCAAAAATATATGTATATTAATGACAGATTCGGCTTAGTTTTGAGAGTACAGTGGCACGTCCCATTTCTGTGGTCCACCCAGTTCCACAGCCACTGACACCCTTGAAGCACGTTGGTCCGCAGCGTTCTGCATGTCCGTCTGTCCTGTCACATCTGTCATGATGGTCTGCTCACCTCCCGAGAGCTAACCCGCTGTTAGTCTACAGCTTGGTTGGGCAAGGAATGGAGTTGGATGAACTGCAGCTCGTTATGGGGCCACAAATAAAAAATGAGTTCGAGAGAGGCTTACCATGGATTTATCTCCCCTTTATTAGAAAGAGAATCATTTTTGTGAGTGTGATTGATGCTTGCTAGTGGGGAGACTAAGACAGGACTGGGGTAGATAACGGTCAAGGGACGTGTCCGTGTGGCCTGTCCAGTGCTTGAGGAGTTACTTGTCAGAGAGGCATTGGGGGGGCGAGACTTCCTAGGAAGTGACATAGTTAGTCAACTCTCTGTGTACTGGAGAAAGATCGAACGTAGAGGAAGGTTTGAACTCTAGTGAGGTCCAGCTTTTCTTGGCAGCTAAAAAAGAATCATTAGTGGATTTAGTGGTGGGGAGCTGACCATCCATGACAGCTCGGCTCTTCAGAGCGACGTGCCCGCCTGCAGACCAGACCCTCGCTCCCAGGGGAAAGACGCAGAGAACACGTCACGGCAGGTGCACGCTGGGAGGAGGTGTCATCACATTCTTCCTGAGACGCAGCCACTGCCTCCCTGAGGTGGCCGGTGGCCACCTGGCCAGGTTGGAGGCAGGTGCACGAGGCCCGACGTGAGCGTGCATGGGGTGGCTGCTCGGGGCACGTCCAGCGCCCTCGTTGTACTTGTGCTCAGGATCCAGGCAGAGACACAGCTTCGACAAATGCTGAACGTGTGAGCCTCTGGGTTCCAGCGTGTATTCGGGGGTCTTGGCACACAAAGGAGACGCACAGGAGAGAGCAGGTGATGGGGTCTGGTCTCAGCCCAGTGGGGGTGCTGCAGGCAGAGCTGTTCTGTGAGGTTGACATTTGACTGGAGCTCTCAGTGGGAATTGCCCAGATGACGCGCACGAGAAGCTGCTTCTCGACGAAGGGAAGCAAGCATGGCGTCTGAATGTCCTGCTGAACGGTGGCGCCCTGTTCCCAGCTACTGTCCTTCCCATGTCGTCTTGTCCTCTAGTGTAGGGGTCTTTTTATCTCTGTGGTTCCGTTATTTTAGAAATCAAGTCAGAAGCAGATGTTGGAAAGACAAGATTTGGGGGACATCATGCCTCCACGGGGAGGGCCAAGGTCAGAGCGTGTGTCCTCGGCATGGGCACCAGCCCTTGGCAGGTCGGGGCAGGTGCCCACTGGCACTCTCACCCCAGTCCCTCCGGCTGCAGACAGCCTGGCACGCTCATGCCCACAAAGAAACACCTTCCTGCTGCCAAACTCGATCTCAGAACCTGTCTCCCCTCTGTGCTACGGGGTCACGGTGTTTGGCGATGGGATATCCACATTCGCATTGAAGTGACTGATTATAATTCTGCTGGAAGGAAACGTACCGGGGGCACCCCAAGGTGGGGCCGTCCCTGCCCAGGGTGCCAGAGCTGCGCAGGGTGTTGGAGGTTGTCTCTGCATAATCCCATGAAGAGAGATGGCCCTTCCCTGGGGAGGGGGGGTGTTAAATCTGCAACAAGAAAAGTAGAAACCGTTCACTGGAAAGACTAGTTTTAAGATGTCAATACTGTTGATTTTACTCGGGTGAAAATACGACGTCATCTCCTGTTTTTCTTAGCAAGTTACGACCAGGCAGAGTGCCAGGCAGCCAGGCGTCTGGGCCACGGGTAGGCTTGCCGGTTGCCCCGGCCTTCAGGCCGAGTCCAGTGGGAATGAACGGAGCTGACGAGTCGACCGCCGTCATGCAGGTCTGGCTCTGGCGATGCAGCACCTTCCCAGCGGGAGTCAAGAGGCGGACTGGCCTGTCTGCCTTCAGGGCAGCTGACCCAATAAGCCACAGAACTCACAGGGCTGGTGGTCCCCGTGGCTGCCCACCCGCAGCGGCAGTCCTATGCCATGTTCCTACGTCGTGCCCAGTGCTCAGTGTCGCCCGAGTCCGTGTCACACATGGTGGCCTGTCTAATGCATGTTTTTATTTCATGAGACAAGGTGTGCTCGGGGTCTGGGAAGGTGACCAGGTCTCCATTTCTTCAGTAGCTGTGATCAAATATGGAAGCTCCCTTTTCTCCCAGTGTTTAAAATCGGGCAGTCGGTAATTATTCAGGATGGAGCCATTTTCTTGGATGACTCCTGTTCTCCACAGTGCTTATGTCCTACGATCATAGTTCACAGAACTGAGGGTTTTCTGAGACCCACTTAGTGCCAGCCCCACGCTGAGGACAGACTTGTGCTCCCGGCTCGTCCCTTGCGGCAGACGTGTGCCGTGGCTCTGCCTTGGCCCGCGGTGCGGACGAGGACGGGGCCGTGTGAGCTGGCCACCCCGTTCCAAGCCACGCAGCCAGCAAGCAGTAGCCTGGGGTCACACGCAGCGCTGCAGAGCTCAGTCTGTGCCGGAACTGCGGGCTGCTCAGGGAGGTCCGTCCCCCCCCAGACCCAGGGCATGGGCGAGGCCTTGTTTTGCCAGGAACGGCCCTGTCATCTTGCCTCTGCGCCTCTCCCTGTTGCCCTCCCCCAGGACGCAGGAAGCCAGCAGATCGGCTTCCTGCTCGGCAGCTGCGGAGTTACCGTTGCCTTGACCAGCGACGCCTGCCACAAGGGACTGCCCAAGAGCCCCACGGGGGAGATCCCGCAGTTCAAAGGTGAGGCAGCACCGAGCGCCGTGGGGGGGGGACTGTTCGCGGGGAAGGTGCGTCCCCAGTGCGCGCTCCCCCACACGAGACCGTCTCAGATGACACATCCTGTGTTGTTAGCCCCGTGGCGTGAGCTGACTGGCTCTGGCTTTCACACTGAGGATGTCGAACGGGGCGGTGATTCTACACACCTCTTTTCTGGGAAACACTCCCCTAAGAGGAATTTGTCCTTTCTTTCCAAGGTTGGCCAAAGCTCTTATGGTTTGTCACAGAGTCAAAACATCTCTCCAAACCTCCCCGAGACTGGTTCCCACACATTAAAGATGCAAATAACGACACGGCGTATATCGAGGTAAGCCCCTGGGTCTGGGCTTCGGACTGAGTCCCGTGTTTCCGTGGTCACTCAGCCCCGGGATCAGGGCACTTGTGGCCTCTCAACAACCAGAAGAGCCGATGATGTGGCTCCTGCTTTGCTCTTTGGCACCACTCGCCCCCACGCTGTCATCTCGTTTCAGTATAAGACGTGCAAGGACGGAAGCGTGCTTGGGGTGACCGTGACGAGGATCGCGCTGCTCACCCACTGCCAGGCCCTCACGCAGGCGTGTGGCTACACAGAAGGTATGATGGGCCCTGCTGGGCCCTCCCTGGGGACCCTGGCTCCAGACCTTGGCCTGTGAGGTGCGTGTTGAGCAGTCTAGGGACTGGGTTGTTTCCGGTGGTAGCCCTGAGTCCTGTGGAGTCGGCGCCCAGTTCAGCTCCAGGTTGACTTGGAGTGTCTGGCTCTGGCCGGCAAGACAGATGCCACAGCCGGGGGGCTTGAGCAGCAGGCTTGTTTCTCACAGTCCTGGCCAGAAGTCTGACGCGAGGGCGCCTCACGGCTGGGCCCTGGTGGGGAGCACCTCTTCCTGGCTTGCAGGTGGTGACTTCTCCCTGTCCGCACACGGCCTTTCCTCCGTGCGCATGGTGAGAGCGAGAGGTGCGGCGTCTCTTCCTCTTCGCGGGAGGACACGGGCCCTGTTGGATCAGGCCCCACCCTTCGACCCTTAGAGGGCCCATCTCCAAGTTCAGTCACACTGGGGTTAGGTCTTCAACCTGTGAACTTGAGGGGACCCTACTAAGGCCCCAACAGATGGTTAATGCCATGCGTGTTCACCTCTGGCTGCACACCAGAATCTCTGTGAAAGCGCCAAGGAAACGCCCACGTGCAGCGCACGCCTGCCACCTGAATACCGTGTCCGGGAGTGGGTTCTGCGAGCTCCCAGGGTGGGCTACACCATTGAGAACAGTTGTTTCGTGAGGTACTTTCTTCCCCTGGAGGGAAAGAGGTAGGCTGACCAGAGGAAACCGTGGTATCAGCACTGACCTGGGATCAGAGAAGGTCAGACCAGATACCAGTTGTCCCTCTGGCTGAACCTCTGTGACAGGTCCCTGCTCTGGGATGTACCCAAGGAAGCGGGTTGCTCTGCTGTGGCCTCAATGCCTTGTGTTTCTACCTTTCTCATTGTTTCTCTCTCCCCCATCTTTCTGGTAGTCTCCCTTTTTAAAAACAATGCACTTATCTCATGAGATGTCCTGCTGACTTTTTGTCCCTGGACTAGTTTCCCAGACATTTTCACACATTGTCTCTAATTATTACCACCCTACTTGTCAGCGTTTTCATTTTAACTTCAACATTTCTTGCAACCTCATGACCCATCTCCTCGCCCTAATCGAAGGTCTAAGGTTGTCACTCTTGTAGGGGGTCAAAGAGAGAATATATATACACGCTCCTTATCTCTCAATTTAAAAAATATTTGTATAAAATGGAATATAGGCTCTTTCCTATATTTATTTTGAAAGCCACTCTGCCCATCCTCTCTGAAAAGGGGTCAGACGCACAGAGCTGAACCTCTGGCGAGCATCTCAAGAACACACGTTAAAATGGAAGACAAGGCGTCAGGAAGTGCCTGGGGCTCAGCAGTGGGCAGAGAGGTAGGCAACTGGTCCACCTGCCCAGGCCACTCGACAGTGACTTCAGAAGCATTGTTCACGGTGGCACTGGCGGCTGGCTCTCCAGCTTGCCTGCCATGTTCAGTCATAGTAGCAGTTCCAACCATATACTTGTAGCTCCTTTTTCTTACCCCGCCTTTAAAAAGTCTCCCATAGCACTATTTACAATAGCTAAGATCTGGAAACAGCCCAAGTGTCCATCAGTAGACGAATGGATCAAAAAGCAGTGGTACATATACACAATGGAGTACTACGCAGCTGTAAGAAAGAAGGATCTCTTATCCTTTGAGACGACATGGAGGGACCTGGAAAGTGTCATCCTAAGTGAAACAAGCCAAACAGAGAAAGACAAGTTTCATATGATCTCACTTATTTGTGGACTATAATGAACATAACAGTCTGAGGAATGGGGTAGTCCCAGAGACGCGGAAGTGGGGTACAGACTGACAATCCCCTAAAGAGGGGGGTGGTGGGGGAGGGATAAACCACAGAACTTATATGCATGTATGCATGAACAGTGGACATGGACAACAATCTGGGGAAAGGGCAGGGAGGGAGGGGTAGGGGGGAATCAGTGGGGGGGAAAGGAGAAACATCTGTAACAAAAATTAATTAATAAAAAAAAAAAAAAGAAGACTCCCATAAGTCTTGTTACTCCCCCACAAAGCCCTTGCCTCCTTTATTGCCCCAGGCCCGCCCCTGAGGCTTCTGTGGTGCAGCACAGGGCGTTTGTCCTCCAGGTGGCCTGGGAGAACCCGCGACAGGAACGAAAAGAACCTTTAAAAAAGAGGACGAAAGGCAGGGAAGGGTAAAGGACATATGCAGAGAGACGGATACGGTGCTGTGAGTGAGGGAGTGAGGGCTGTGGACCTGCAGGTCGGACTCGGCGGGAGCACTTCCCGGCCGGCCCACACTTTCAAATGGGTCTGCAGGCTGCAGATTCCCTACAAAGATGAGGTTATCCGAGACCCAGCTCTACCCCTGAGGTGACGCTGGGTTTTCCTCGCCCCGGGCTCTGTACCTGTCTTTCCTAAGTAAGAATCTCTCTCCTCTTTTTGTTTGTGCAGCGGAAACCATTGTGAACGTGTTGGATTTCAAGAAGGACGTGGGGCTCTGGCACGGAATCCTAACAGTAAGTGTGGCGCTGGCCCGGCCCTGCCCTGCCGACACTGGAATGTGCTCCTGGCAGGCAGGGTGCGGTCTTCATACGCAGCAGCTAGGGTGAGCCCCTTCCCGGTTGTAAGGGAACATTGTCGGAAGTCTTGAGTTGTCAGGTGAAGAGACTTCCGAGAGCACAGCGAACCCCGAGGGTCTCCGCAGCCACTTGCCGGAGTCACTGAACTACATGCGAGGCTGCAGCTGCCTCCCAGGCTCACCGGCGGCTCAGGTCCTTCCTCCCCACCTTCCGTTCAGCGTTTACCACGACACAGCAGTGTCGTCAGTGTCTTGTGTTTGGGTCACTTTCCCATACTTCTGACTTGGCTACACGTTCTTGTTACTTTTCTTCCTATGAATGTTGAGGGAACCTACTGTTTCATTATTTTATGCCACAGGGAAAAGTTCTTTACAGATCTCCCCTTGATGAAAATTCAGCATGCGCCACCGGGGATGCATGTCTCTCTATTGTTGGTGCCACCTGATAAAAAGCTGCAGGCACATTTACAGAGAAAGCTTGTTATTTAAGATATCTTTGGCACTTAAAGATGTGTAGCGTAACTGCTTAGACTCTTAACCTTGTCTGTTTTATATGTGGTTATTTGTATTCACCCATTTTATCTTCTTAAGTTTATGCTGAAACATTGTATCTTTCCTGAAATAGAAAAAAACCTGGTTCTTTTTGCATGATTGGTAGGAACATCAATACAGAAAGTGGAATATGTTGTTTCCTCATAAACTAGAATTTATTAGAACCGAGGCATTTAAGTATCACATACGAGCAAAGGTTTGCAGCTCTAGGTCAGCAGCTTTTTCCTGTGATGAGTATGATTCATTTCGACCATCTGGATACTAGTGGATGACAAGTCACAGGCATGACTCCCCGTAGGTGCGCTCACACAGCCGTGTGGGTGTCCTGGGAAGGCTCAGACCTCGGCCCTTCCTTCTGTAGCTTTGTGACTCCAGGCCTATCACCTGAGCCCAAGATCGTCTGTTGCCCGAGTCACTGTGAACGTCAGTTTCCCTGTTTGTCCAATGGGAAGCATGATGCTGGGGGAGAACTGTGGACCTGATGTTGAGTGAGCACCTGGTCCATCCGCCTGCTTGACAGTGTGACAGAGCTGCTGTCATTGTTGTGAGCAGAGTTTCTCACGACGATCTTGGTTCCGCGAGCCTGGGATAGGTCTGTGTTGATCTTGTTGATGCTGTCTTCCACCTGCCGCTTACCGTGGCTCGATCACTGCCCGGGAGCCAGTTTCGGAGTCTTGCTGCCACCCCCCAGAGCAGGGGTGGGGAACGTCCAGCCCACAGGCCATGTAAGGCCCGCGAAATCAATACCAGCCAGCATCACACACCTCACCAGATTAGCCTGACAAACTAGAGCAGGCTAATTTTTAAGTTGATAATTTTGTATGGCCTGCAAATGATGTTAAAATTTCCCAATGGCCCTTGGCAGAAAAAAGGCTCCCCAATCCTGTTTTAGAGCGAGGCCAGTCTGGCTAGACAGCCACACACACTCCTTCCTCTGTGGCATCTTCTGTGCGGTGGCAGGTGCTCTCACCCCCAGCGTGGAGTGGGGAGCAACACCAGTGAGGGGCCAGGGGGCTCCTTCTACCGGGGAAGGTGTAGGTGGTCCTTTCCTTCAGCGCCTCCAGAGTTAGGCAGTGCTCTCCAGAGCGTCTCTGCTCGCTGCCCGCCCCTGCCTGCAGGAGCAGAGAACCCTGAGGCGGCAGAGCCTGCCAGGGAGAGTCCTGGCCCCTGCTCCCCCTTTGCAACCCCTTCACTGCCAGCTCCTGAGCGCACTGGACCGAAGGACATCCAGCCGGGTGTGAGTCCTGCAGCTGTGTGAAGCACGGAGGGACTAACCACTTATTTTAGTTTTTTTAAACTTGACTTTCTTTTTCAAGTACACTTGACATTTAATGTTATTTTATGTTAGTTTCAAGTGTACAGTATAATGGTTAGACATTTATATAATGTATGAAGTGATTGCCCACACCCCAGTAAGTCTAGTATTTTAAAAGTTAGTTTTGGTCCTTTGTTTTAAAGAAATGCATCCTTTCGGGCTCTCGATCTATATTAGCAAGGCTAGATTGAGGAGGAAGGGTCACACAAACGCTCCCCACTGCTTCTTGACATTTCAGTGTGACATTTAGTAACATAAATTATTGAAAGAAAAGTTAGTATAGTAGCCCAGCCGGTGTGGCTCAATGGATTGAGCATCATCCCATGGACTGAGAGGTCCCGGTTCAATTCCTGGTCAGGGCACATGCCCAGGTTGCGGACTTGATCCCCAGTAGGGGCCATGCAGGAGCAGCCCGTTGATGTTTCTCACATCGATGTTTCTGTCTCTCTTCCTTCCTTTCTCTCTAAAAAAATCAATAAAAACACATTTTCAAAAAAGTATAGTACACTAGAAAAAAATAAACTTCCAGCCTATGGAAAGATCTTAAGAATCATTCAACTAAAGGTTTTATATATATTTTAAAAAGCAACAACACTATTTGGAGTAAGATTCTTTCATTGTATCAGGAAAAGCAGGAGCCGAGAGGACTGGGTAACCTTTGAGACGTCCCTTCTGAGGTTATTCTGAGGGGCACTGGGGTCAGCTGCCCGCTCGCACTGAGCACCCCTGGCTTTGGGGTGAGCCCCACGCCTGCCCTGTTGTGTCCCCATCTGGAGCCTGGAGCCAGGGGGGGCTCTCCAGCCTCACCCCTGTGTGTGTCCTTGCTTTCAGAGTGTCATGAACATGATGCATGTGATCAGCATCCCGTACTCACTGATGAAGGTGAACCCACTCTCCTGGATTCAGAAGGTCTGCCAGTACAAAGGTGCGTCCCAGGGTGGCCCTGGTGTTCCCCCCACTATCATGAGTCCCTCGTTAAATATCTCACAGTCTGACAGTCCACATATTAACTCCCTTCCCTCTGCTTCTGTTTCAGCAAAAGTGGCCTGTGTCAAGTCCAGGGACATGCACTGGGCATTGGTAGCACACAGGGACCAAAGAGACATCAACCTCTCCTCTCTGCGGATGCTGATCGTGGCTGACGGCGCAAACCCCTGTAAGCAATGCCGGTTGCTCGGGGGAGGACAGGCAGGCAGGAGTGTCCTCCTCACCAGGGCTCGTTCCTTGCACTTTGTTTGTTTTTTTCTAGTCTTTACCTTAGTTAAGAAATTGTCTCAAAATAATAACCAAACAGAACTACTCAGTGGCTGGGGGCACCGTGGTATGCCCGTGGAGAGCATGGAGCTTGCAGACGGCCCTGCGGTGAAGTCCTGGTGCCTCTGCTCCCTGCTTCTGGAGAGAACATCCGTTTTAAATCTTTCTCTCCCATTAGCTTCAAAATGATACCTAAATCGTACGGGGTTTTGAGGATGAAATGAAGTAACCCCTCTATGCAATTCCATAGGACGCCATAAATTCTCAAGAGATATTAACTGTTATTATTTTATGGTCCATGGTAGTTTTGTTGATCAGAGAATTAGTTTGTCATTTTTAATGAAATGTCATTATCCAGTCCTATAGCAAAGATGACCTAGGTTCATCAGACTTTTGTTGATATACCTTGAGAAATAGAAATAAAACCCAGCTAGCTGGTTTTTTACGAGACGAATATGTAAGCCAGAAGCAAAGTGAATCGAATGTAAGCAAGCTTGTTTCTGATGCATTTGTAAACCGCAATGTATACATGTACAAATTAAAGCAGGGTAGACTTTCTTAAAGAACATCTGAGAGGCAAAAGTGGACTTGCAAACAGATCATTTATTAGTACTAGTTTTGTAAATGAGTCTTCCATTTACAAAATAACTCCATGAATTGTGAGCTGTTTTAACACATAGTTGCTTTTACCCACAACTCTTCAGAGCAACATTTCTTACATAAAGCTCAGGAAACTTGTATTAGGAAGTCATTTAGCTGCCAGGTCCCTAGTAATTATACTGGGCCTCGTCATTCAAGTTAATTTAAAGTTTTCTTCAATTAAGGCAAGGATTTTCAACTGGTATGTCACAAGAATTTTTAAAATATACAATACCTGACTATTTAGTCAAGGGCACTGACCTTTTCTCCTTTAGATTGTAAATTTTAAAAATGACAATAGCCAACACAACAATAGCTGTCCAGTGTGAATGAACGAAAATGATACCTGTTTTTCTTTTGTCAGATCGGCAAAAAATACATTTTTTGGTGTGCTGCAGAATTTCAGTAATTAGTTTATGTGTGCCATGAGATGAAAAAGGTTGAAAATCTCTGTTACGGTTAGATTTACCCATCTTTTAGAGCATGCATGTTGAAGATGGTAGAACACATCTCAAAAAAGTTGTTTAAGTTAATCAGCAAATGTTTTGATTAAGCACACAAGTTGTATTTTGTAAATTCTTGAGTTATGTAAGCTTGAGAAAATCATCTTTCCTTGTAACCTAAAGGATATATTAAGTGAAGCGTGTTTTCCATGCTACCTGATTCCCCACATGCCTAAATCCCAACGTCAAGAGCATGTTCTATTGTGGGGTATTTTAATCTGTGACATGGTTTGTGCGGTCTGATCGCCACCCCTCTTTCGCTCCAGGGTCCATTTCTTCCTGCGACGCGTTCCTCAATGTCTTCCAAAGTAAAGGCCTGCGCCAGGAGGTGATCTGTCCCTGTGCCAGCTCGCCAGAGGCCCTCACGGTGGCCATCCGGAGGTACTGCCACATGCTTACCGTGGACAGCCGAGGGAGAGCCCTGATCAAGCCTGAAGGGAGACCTGGGAATCAGAGCAGTTCGCCTTAGTGAGGATGCTGACATGGAGTCTTTAAAATGTCTAGATTCACTAGCGAGGGAAGCAGCCCTCGCTCTGGCGATTCACTGTTATCCCCGTGTGAGTGGACACCGCTGGGGGGACACCAACATCTTGTCCTTGCAGGGTACCCACTTTTTCATTTGCTCCCATCAGGCCCAGGATTAATTTGGGGTGGAACAGAGTCAGTGTCGGGTGAAGTGAAATGTTTGTCGCCTGTGCCCTTTGACATGCAGTTTCTGTCATTTTCGTTTTTTGCCCTTTGTACATGTATTGCACTTTAAAAACGCTGGTTTTCTGAGGTGCGGAGCCACTTGGTGGTACACCTGGGGTTCGCGGGTGCTCTTGCTGAGCCATGTTGCCCGGTGTCCCTGAGCAGCACTGGGGGACAGGAGGTGGGCATGTGCAAGCCTGTCCTACCCAGGAAGAGAGTACCCGGAGGGCGCAGGATGGTCATCAGCTCTCGGCTAGCCACAAGTTATTTTCAAGCACATTTGATGAAAACAGCATTCACAGTTGATTTTTATTGACCTATTCCTCTCTGGGCTATTTTCTGTAATGTGAATTTAGGTTAAAATTCCCTGTTCCTGGTGTTTCACATGAACAACTGACTGTCCACTGAAAGGTTGGCACAAATTCTCGTTTTGGAAATCAAGCACTTAAACTCATGCTGTCGTTTATGCTAAGTGCTTGCTTTCTTCCTTGAAACACACAGAAGACCCGAAGGGAATTTTTCACTTACAGAGGGCAGAGGCCAGGTGGTTAAGAAAACAGTTTCGATTCATTGTTTTCATACCATTTTGAGTGGGGACCAGAAAGCCTCGTCATTCATTGCTCAAGGGTTTTGATGTGAGCACACGTTCTTAAATGTCCCTATAAGTCTAGTGCTGGAAGCATTGCAATCTCTCACATTATGTATACTGCCCATAAGATAAATTTTAAAGAGAAAAAAAAGAGTTTGGCTGCTCTGTTGTCTCATTTTGTTGCAAAGAAAGACCTGTCATTAAGCAAGCCTGTGAACGGACGTTTTCCTCCGCAAGCTTTTAGAAAGTCCTTGTATCCCGTGCTTTTCTGTCTTCCTGAGACGGCTTGTTCTGCTCTGATGGTGAACTTCCAGTAAAGAGCCGGGAGCAGCTGATTGCTCGCTTGGTCTTTCACCCACTTAGATAGAAAATGATCCTCAGTTATTGTCTGTGGTCGTCAGTGAAGATAAAACTGCTGATGCATCCCATTGCTCACGACTTGTAGGACCTTTGGCCTTTTCTGGAACATAGACTGCTCTGTGATTCTCTTCTGTGAAACAGACACGTGTAAATCAGTAAGCTGAGTGGTTGCAGAGTGCCACGTGGGGACGGCTGTGTGCACTGGCCTAGCTTCTCGGGCTGCTCCGAGCTGGTCCTTCCAGAGCAGACAGCCTGGCTGATGGGTTGGTGTCCATGGTTACAGCCGTTAAGTATCTTGATGCCGCTCCTCTTGTAAGAATGCCTCTCACTTATACAGCAGGGAAGGGAGCATATTGGAAGGTTGTGGGGTGCACGGAGTCAATGGCTACCTCTAGTATTTCCCTTGAGAGCGGGCAGGATGGACAGGTGCTCTGGAGAGCTGGCAGCAGGACTCTGGCCATGATGTGGGGGGCAGCCAGCTGGCACCCTGGCTTCAGAGCAGTGTGCCCCTCAGATGTGCTGCCCAGGCTGTTCTGACTGCCAGGACTGGCCCCTCGTCAGCATCCCCTCAGGGGAAGGCTGCTCTCTAGGAGGAAGTGAGATCAGGCCAGAAAATGAGTGACATTCGTTGTAGGGTGGTTGAGGATTTTTAAGAACATGAGTTGGAGAACTTGAAGGAAAAAGGGCAGGAGACATGCCTGTGTTCATACATGTCCTCTTCATACATGTCAGTCTCCATCCAGTGTCAGTCAACCAGGCGGTGGCAGGAAACCACCTTGTTCTCTAGTGGAGTCTGCCCTGGCTCCCATGTGCTCTGTATTGTTACTCATGCATTTGATCTGCTTTCTTATTTTTAAAACTTCATTGTCTGGGTCAATGTTTTGTATTTCCTTTTTCTCTGAAGATTTACTGTAGAATAAAAAATATTGGAGCGATATGGATTCATGATGCCTAAACTCTTCAGTAGAATCCGCCCCCCCCCCCCCCAAAAAAAAGGGCAAATGACAAAATGAACACCAGCAAATTATTATTTTGGCTCCAGAGACCTGCTAGACTGCTATCTGGTTCTGTTTCTGTCTCTCAAATATAGATGGTAGAGTCCATTCTTTTAAAGCTACATTTTGATAATGATTGAACTAAGAAAAAAAAAAAAAAAAGCATGGCCTAACTACAAGGTATTATCTCAGTACCTTGATGCTTTAGCAATGAATAGGTAATAATTATATAAAACATGTACATTTTAATATGTGATTAAAACAATAATTTCGGAGAACAGTAAAGATATACCCCCCGTCACCTTAACCATTTTTCATGTTGGAAATATCTAACCTAGTATTTAGAGAGCTTGAAGAAAACCAGGAGGAGATATACCCAAAGGGCGGTCTATGCGACGTAAGGCCTGTTGGACACCGAAACGTGACAGTTTCTGGCAGGGGCACACCAGCCAGTGATCCAGAGTGAGAAGAAGTTAGCACCAGCCTCAGGATTGAAGTGGGATTCTCGGGAATGTGTTTGACCTCTCAGAAAGTCAGACTTGGAGACCTATCATCGTATTTTTAAAACACAAGAAGATAAAATATATTGTTCGTAATTTTATCTAAAAATTTAGATAAAATTTTAAAACACCTGTAACCACACAAGTCTAGAGACGATAATCATCTAAATGAAACGATGGCTCAGTTAAGTGGCAGTGAAGAGCAAAGTGACGGCCCCGTCGTGTTTCGCGGAGTTCTCCTGACTGCTTGCATCTGTCTGGGTTTGAGCGCATTGTGGGTACTGGCTGGCGGAGGTGCCGGCGGAGCTGCAGGCAGCTCACCGCTGAGGAAGTAGCCCCACCCCTGATTTGCAGGCTGGCCTTACCCACCAGCTGGTCAGGAGCGAGCCCTTCCACATGGAAAAGTAGCCAGAGCAAACGGAAACACAGTTGCAAACAACTTGTTTGGCGTGATCCCTTTTCTGGCTCAAAAAAAAAAAAAAAAATTTAAGTGTTTCTAAATGGTATATTTAGTAAGGAAAAAAATCTGAAAGCTACATACTAAACTGAACAGGTGAGAACAGGATGCAGGGATAAGTTCTGTTTCTGTTTAACGCAGCTCTTTTCTTTTTTTCCTAAAAGGGCATGTATTGCTCCCATCAGGGAAAAGGGAGAAAATTACATTAAATTAATTCATAACTTGGGGGTATGCTGTTTTGACCTTGTGTCTTTCCCTATTAAAGATCATCAGTGTAACTGAAAGCTTAGGTATCTGTTGCATTTTGAAAGTCTCTATTACACTGAATATTGAATACGGGTATATCCATGGATTTGACTGGATTTCTCCTGAAATTTGTATTGTAGGAGTATGCCCTGAAATAGATTTTCTATTAAAACAAGGACTCACCCTGGCCGGTTTGGCTCAGCGGTTAGAGCGTCGGCCTGTGGTCCAGAGAGACCCGGGTTCGGTTTCCGCTAAGGGCACGTACCTCGGTTGCAATTTGTCCCCGACCCTGGCTGGTCGTGCAGGAGGCAGCCACTCGATGTGTCCCTTTCACGTCGATGTTTCTCTCTCTCTCTCTTTTCCTCTCTCTCCCTCCCACTCTATCTGAACAAAAAAGTGGGAAAATGTCCTTGGGTGAGGATAAAAAAAACAAGTACTCAACCTCAGCCACTTCTCATCCTTTTAAGGACACTTTTTTAAATGGGGGCGGTTGATTGGTTGCCTCCCGCACACCCCAACCAGGGATGAGCCCACAACCTGGGTATGTGCCCTGACTGGGAATTGAACTGGCGACCTTTCGGTGCATGGTATAATACGCAAACCAACTGAGCCACAGCAGCCAGGGCTAAGGGGCATTTTTTATCAGTACTTGTAATTTGCCAGTGGCTGTCCTGCCACAGCAGAAAAGATTCGCCTAGAGAAGGAGACAAGTGGAGACAGGCCCCAATCAGCGACTGTATGTTTGGTCACCCAGGCTCCTTCCTGGGGCTAGTTTACATTTGTCTGCGCACCCTCCAGATGGGAGCAGCAGGGCAGCTCCTGGAAGGCAGGTCCCGGGTTCAGAAGGGAAGGCCTGGCTGCCGTGGGCAGAAGTAGATGGATGGCCCTGCCACTTTTCAGTGGCTTATTTGGAGCGCAGATGTATTTCCCAGGGGAGCGGTCATGGGCGGCTCTTTGACGCCACATGGAAGAGCTCCTGGATCCCAGGCGCATGTTACACCCTTGTCCTCCGTGTCCAGGGAGCCTGGCCCAGTGAGTCATGGATCTGGGGCCCTAGACGATGTTCCACTTGCTTTGCTTTTCCACTTGTTGGCTTTGTAACTTGGCGAAGCCTCAACCTTCAGGCCTCAGAGTTTCATCCGTAAAAAGAGGGGAACAGCAGCGCCCACACCACAGGGTCCCGTGAGCATCTAACGTGTTAGTATACACAGAGCTCGGAGGTATGCCTGGTGCACAGTGAGAGTTAAGCCAGTGTTATCAATGCTAGTATTACTGCAGTAATACTGTGTATGTAATCTGTGTTATTTGTATACCCATGTATATGCACACGTGTGTGTTGTTCCATAGCGCTGTTATACAGCGATGCTCTAATCAGTATTGTTGGAGGAGAAGAAATGTGCAGTTACCCGAGACTTCACTCCTTTGCTCTCCACATGTTCCTAGTTGGGAATTACTAAATTAGAGATTGCCCATGTAAGAGGAGAGGAGGAGGCAGAAGGCTCGGTGAATGGCAGCAGACGGGCTGCAGTTACTGGATTGGTTCT